ACCTTATGTCTAGAACCCCCAAAGTAATCCTGCCTCCTGCTTGCCCTCCTTGATGGGACAGTGCCTGGCAGCCCCTTCCTTGAACTCAAAGACCCACGGCTGGACTCTTGGTGCAAAGACCAAGGCCTGGGCCAAGTGGAGATGGCTGGGTCAGGAAAAGACAAAGCGGGAGTCCCGGGTTTCTAGGGGACCCTGGAGCAGCACCAAAACATCCAAAGGAAACCCAGCCTCAGGAGCCTTAGGAGCAAGAGAGGTGGCAAGATGAACTGATGTCCCCTCCATAGCCTATAAATAACCCCCATGCAACCCAAGCCATCACCCCTGCTACCCGGAGTGCTGAGATGTAACAGGGAGCCCAGGTATACAGCGCTGAGCCCCCCTGGGAAAACCCCCTGCCTAGCAGAGGCCCTGTTCCTCAATGGGTCTCTTTCTTCTTCTGAATTCTGACCAATTCTGTTTCCAGCCAGACCCCAGCTCTGTGTCAGATCCTATCCCAAACCAACTCCACCTCTGCCTCACTGTTCTCAAAAAATGACCTCAACTTTGCCCACTGTGTCCCCCTCTCCCTCAATCATGCAAACCCATCCCTAGCTAGAGTGTAGGCCTCCACCCCACCTGCCCCCACATGGGAGGGTCACTTGAACTACCTCCAGCTCCAGAATTGTGGCTCCCCCAGCCTTGACTTTTGGGGCCCTCTTTCCCAGCATTGACTGGGCATTCCTTTCTCTAACCTCAGCTTAAGCCTCAGGCCCGTCCACCTGTCAGGTTGCTGCTTCCCTTTCCTCTGGCCTCCCCACAGGCCCAGCACTATCCTCTCCAGCACCAGCTCCCTTTCCCACTGCCTGCCTAGGGAGGAGCAGGATTAGGATAGTGAAACTACCAGGGACCAGAGGTTTGCTGCATGCCCTGTCCACCATATCCCAGTAAACAGAAAACCTCAGGGAGCTCTGGGGGCACAGTCTGAGCCTGGCCAGTGCCAGGGTGGGACATACCTGCCTGTCCTGAGAGCAGGAGCGAGGCCGCCAGGCAGCAGAACAGGACTCGTGCCCTCATGGTGACTGCCAAGAGAGCCCAGCTGCTCTGTGCCTCTATTTATAGGGCGTAGGCAGGGCGGAGGGAGAAGGGTCACGCAGTCACTGGGGCAACTGGGTAGGCGTGGTAAGGAAGACACTCAGACCCTGGTAAGCCGGAGGCCGCCACTATCCCAGCTGCCAACCCCAAAAGACAGGACCTGAACTGAATTCTCTGCCCCAAGGCCCCAGAGACCGAGAATCACACTAC